TGTTAATAGTGATCTTCTCCATATAAAGGTAATTTTTCACCCTTTTTAAAGTTCACCCTATACAAAGGAAAGTTGATAATACTTGTATCTGTGAACTTAAAATCTAGACTCCCTTTCATTTCCAGAGAAAGAAAGAAAAAAAAAATGCCCTAACTCAGTTTGTATTGGTCATCATTGTTTTGCTGTTTATTTAAACTTTTCATTGAAGTTATGGGAGTTTTATAGATATTTCTTGAATACTAATATTATTTATGAGTATATTATTGTGTGTATAATTACACTACATAGTTTAAAAAGACACACTAAAAAAACTTTATTCTCCCCTTTTTATTCAGGCTTTACATGATGTGCCAAAAGGTCCTGCAGAACCAATAGACATAACCAGTCTCTGCTATTTAGCACAGCAGACTACAAATGAAATTCATGTAAGTTCTTATTGAAAAACAATATATGGAAAGGTAATATATATATTTTTTTAATACTGATGCTAAGCTAGCCAGAAATCTACTTGCTATTACTAATACATATACATGTTTGGAGAAATATTTCTGCTCTTTCTGTTACAGTTTTTTTTATAAATGTTTTATCAGATACTCCATACTGTGTATAAAATTCTGTTCTTTCATGTTATAGGTTCGGACATTTGAAGAATGCAAAATGTACATCTTCCTAGTGAAAAAACTCACTTCTAGTGATTTAATACAGAGGTTAAAAGATACACCTCATTCAGTACCAGCAATCACTTCTGAGAAAAGTAAGTTATATATTGTTGGAGGCATGAGTAGTTTGACCAAGGCATATCTTTAAACTTGAGGTTATATTATCTCATCAGCTATTTTATAGAAACAAGGTAAATATGTTTCTTGAGTACAAGAAAGAGAGAGTACATGTGTGTATGCATGCCCATGTGTATGCGTGCGTGCGTGGGTATGTGCGTGTGTGTTCATGGGCTTCTGTAAGTGCAGCTTTAGGCCTAATCTAAATTGCATCTAGAAAACCTGAACCTTTACATTCAAGTAAATCCTTCTTACTCCCTTGCCAAGTGCTTCTTTGTGAATGACAATATTTTTTTGAAACTTGTAGAAGTAGTAGCATAGATACATATTACTACACCTTTAGAAATAGACCTTTCAGTGCTTGTAATCAGTGCATATCCCAGATCTTTTATATAGAGTTTTCCTCTCTTTGACAGTTAAAGAAAAGTTGAGTCAAGATACTTCCCTTGAAGAAATTGCCCCAACCACTCTACAGTGCTCTTTGCTGTGTCCGCTCGGTAGAACCCGCTTAAAGCTCCCTTGCCGTGCCTGGACCTGCAAACATCTCCAGTGTTTTGATGCGGCTACGTATATTCAGATGAATGAACAAAAACCTAAATGGTGTTGTCCAGTTTGTCGTGAATCTGCCCATTACAAGAACCTGCATATTGATGGGTAAAGAGAACAGTTTGTTTGCTGCCTTTGATTCTTTTTTTCCCCCCATTAATCTTAGATATTGATATTTTTGATGTAGGAAGTGATATATTCAGCAATTAATATATGCAGTTCTAAAGAATAGGGAAAGAAGGAAGAGGACACAAGAGAGATAGGAAGAAAAGATAGATATCAAGATTTGTTTTTTTTCTCAGAATGAATGTAATAGCTGGTATTCTGTTAGTGATAAGAGGAAGAATTAGAAATATTTTTTCTTCAAAAACTTGAGATGGTCATTGCATGATATTTGTAAAGGATAAGATATTTTTCTGGTCTTTAGTGAAACCAACAGCCAGTTCACAAATTGAAGAATGGCTGTGTGCAGACTCTAACAAATTATTCTATATAGTGTGTGTGTTGATAACTTTTTCAGAATGGTTATATCCATAAGATCAGATCACCTTACACTTGATATTTATACATTTATTTTCTTTCCATTCAGGTATTTTCTCAATGTCTTGGAGGAAAATACCACAGATGATACAATAGTGTTGCTTGCTGATGGCTCCTGGAAGCCAATGAATCTAGCAGATAAGGAATTCGAGCAAGTAGAAAAAGATCAGGAACAGATTCAGCTTGGGGAAAACACACCTGTGACTGAGAAAACAATTAATATAGAAAGTGATGATGAAGTCTGTGCTGAAGACAATTCTTGTGAGGGTAATGAAGGTAAGCATGGAAAGAGAAATCCATTTTTATGCTAGGAAAGATAAAGGTGATTTTGCTTTTTTTTTTATTATTATTATCAGGGAAGCCTGTATTGTTGAATTTTTGAGAAACAAGCTTGATTTATGAAATAGTGAGGTGGCCATTGCTTAGAATAGTACAAGCAGAAAGTTGAGCTTGTGTGATAGAAACAGTATTAATATACTGGTTTTTATTTATTTATTTATTTATTTTTCATTCCACTCTTACTGTTAAAGATCACAAAATAAGTCTCATCAAAGGATTCTTTATTCTTTAGATATAAGATAATGAACAAATAATAATCTTTGCCATTAAAAGTAGTATAAGGATTCATGAAGCAATTT